TACATTTCTTTAAAGCTTAATTAATTAAAAATAAAATATTATTTATTTGATTCATATATTTCTTTGTATGATATATTTCTTTGTATGGTATAGATCTTTGTCTGATTTCGAGATATAAATTTCATACGTTTTGAATTAAAAAATACGTATTCAGTCCAGAGATATAGCATGACAAAGTTGCAGAGTTTCACACTCTGGTGTGTGACCAAAAATACCAATGGCTTACTAGGGTTAAAATATAAAAACTTATACTGTATAATTACCAGACTATGCACGATAGAGGACTATCATCCGAAGGTTTTTTTGAAGACTTCCATTCCAGCTCTTGCTTCAGTAAAAAATGCTCCTCCGTTCGCTCAATGCGACAGTCTCTCAAGTAAATCTTGAAATTTGACATTACTTGGTTACAATATTTTGAAAATTAAAAATCCTACAAATCTATGTGACTACGTGATAAAGTTTGAAATCATTATAATTATAAAGAGTTGATATTTCCTATTTTTCGCGAGCATACTACTCCATAAGCGCGGATTATCTCGGTCGAGAGCTCAGGCAGAAGCGTACAAGCTGGCCTTTCTCTCATTCATTATTCGTGCCGATTCTTTGCGTTTACTCGAAGTTATGACCACGCTGTCGCTTGCATAATGACTCGTAAGCCAACAATGTTGTCGCGTAATCAAATGGCGCAGACATTTGTTCTCGCTGCGAATAGGACTGCGCATTGTTTCTCCGTTAACAATTTCTGCAAAAAAAAAATGGAAAAAAAGAAATTGCGTAGTTACAGGTGGTGTTCACCATCCATGATTTCTGTTTCAAGCTAAATCTTTTAAAAGCATATGAACGACCCTGAAAGTAATATAAAATCTGGAAAATTGTGTGTACATATATCTCAGTGTAATAAATACAAGGACGAAAGATGAAACTACATAGTTTAATATTAGTGTTAATAACAATCATAAAATATGATACATAAGCTAGTAATAATAATATGACTACATTGATAGTGCAGTGATGATAAAATTTGATACGTACATCGTAGTAATACTAGAACACACTAGAACTACACATTGGCATTTATAACAACATTTTACGATACTAGCTAAAATAGGATGAGAGAGGAACGAAATTAAAGAAGCTAATTACTAATGTATGTGATGTTTGGTAACATAACAATCATGGGCAAGCATTAACGTCAGGTGAACCGGTAGATTGCAAACATGGCGAACAAATCGCATAGTTGATTTCGTGCGTGTGTAGGTCAGGATAACAACGTGCTCTAAATATATTTCGCGTAAGATGGATATGTGCTGTTATGTATTCAAGCAAAATCATGACGTGCGTCAGCTCACTAATCCAGCCGACGCATACATAACACACATAGACATAAATACTGTAAATTGAATTAACGTAAATATTGGGTATTCGATATTACATATTATGAGATTAATTTCCCTGAAACTTCTCCGATACGCGAATATAATCGATAAACATGACTAAATGTATACGCAACACATGTGACTTTGTACCAAATTATTATTCACAGGCTTCTTAAGCATATTAAAAAACTGCGGTATATATTTAAAAAATGTAATATGTCTTGTTGAATATTTACAACGAATTTATGAAATTCAAATGTTATTATTTTATTAACTCCATGCGATCTTCATTATTATGAGAACATTAATGTATTTTTATACTGAGATATGGCATTTCGAAAATTTAATGGTACTTTTAGAAAAATTTTTAAGGAATCGAGATCACAGCTGATACATCAGAATATAATAATCGAATATGTATAATATTACATATAATAGTTTGAGAGAACAATTTTTTAATGTTTATCGGCAGATTTATGTATGGGATTAGAATTAATCGTGTGGAAAACAACGCGACGCGAAAGCGCGCGTCATTTTTAGCATTATCGCCGGTATTCTCTTAACGAACTCGGCGCTAAATCAACGTGGAACATGCCGTAAATCTATGCGGGCAAACTAGTTAGGCAATATACGGAGATTCCACGTGGATTTACGAGCGACGGTCGTCGATATGAGCAAAAAGAAGAGAAGTGGTTCGCGCGAGGGCGGTCTGCTCTTTGCGGTTAAAGATTTTCGGCGGTCCGCCAGGAAAGCGGGTAAGAGAAGCAGACGAGAAAATCGATGAGTCGACCGGGACGAGATGCGATAAATTTTCGTTGGCATTACCGACTGCAAGAAAGTCGCCGAAGAAGCTTTTCGAAGGGAACGACCGGTTGCCCGACGAAGCACACGAAAGGGTCAACCTGCGAAGAGGTAGTGTAGAGGAGAAAGAGGAAGAGTAAAAGAGAGAGAAGAGGTCGTTCGATCGAGGAGTAATGAGAGCTTACTGGGTGTAATGACCTCCACCTTAGGTCAGCGCCGTGGCGAGTGAATTGTGGACCCTTTGGGACGCTCGATGCATCCACATCGTTTATTCGATCATTGTTGATTTCAAGAATAAGGGATTAAGATCAGAATATCAGCAATTCGGAAATTAAAAGTTGCCAGAAACAGCATTTTCTAAATGAGACCTACTTGTATTTAATCTTACAGACAGATCTTCGATTGCCAATATCGAATGTTTGAATGCGTTTACTTATTGACTAGATATAAATTTATTTATTTGACATAAATCACAATTTATGCTTTTTGCGCGGAAATATATCTTTATTAATAATTAATTATTTGCATGCACACATTTATATGTTTGTACTCAACTGTGGTCCGAAACTAAAACTAAAAACAGTTTTACAACTGTTATTCGAAATAATCGTCAGATCATAAACTTTAAATTTAAACAGATATCATTAATGTATCTATTTGCAGTTTTCCGATGATTACATCGTTTAATTTTATCAAAAGGTTTAATAATATCGTTTAAAACGATTTTAATGAAAGTATATTTAATTTAATATGAATATGACACGTTTACGTCAAAAACTTAAACAAACGTTTAACATTAAATTTTTCTCTGTCAATTCTCTATCAACATCAAATTTGGATAGAAAGTGTCGGATGTAATATTCCTAACAAAGGAATATTTAGAAAGCGTTCGCTTGAATCGTATTGAACGACACTTTATATTTGGCTACGCCATTTTCGGAATATGATAACGCTAACGCAAAAACGTTACTTGATGAGAATTGGTTTTCGAAGTGACAATCAGCATAATTTTACTGATGATGTTTTTGCTAAATTTTACGAGAAATTTGATATTGGTTCTTTGCTCGGTTAAAACGTCTCGCTCCATTCCGCCAACACGACCAAAAATGATGATGAATGTGAAAAATACTGATATGATGTTTGAGGAATTTACTTTTTATTGCTAAAAATTAAAAATTGAGGTTGATAAAATAAACGATTGAAATTATGTACTTTTGTATGTAATATCCATAATTTAAATGAAAATTAAATAACAATTTTCGTTTATTTCTGTTCGATTAAGAATTATCAAAGGGCAAAATTTTCAGAGTATTGAGAATAAGTGATAATTCGTTTTTGCACATTAATAATATTCTAAAAGTAAATATTTTATAATTGCAAATACGAAATTGCTTTCAATTTGCGTTTGCGCTGCGTGAACATCGAGATTATTTCTGTCCAAAAATAACACATAATTGGAATAATAATTTACCAGAAAAGGCTACGAGAAAATATTACATGCACCTAAATTTTCATTAAAGACAAATTGACTCCACGGCAGTAAACGATTCATGAAAGCATCAACCATATTTCTGGCATACCATATATAGTCCAACATGTATTACACCACGTGTCGAGTATGGCCTGTCTTTAGTAATGAAACACCCGATGATAGAAAGACACCCTCGTTTCCTTTTCGGCATTGCACTCATGCTTCTCTGACAGATGCCGATTGGTATCCATAAACTCAGAAAACAGCGGGCTACAAATAGTCAAGTGCATTCACCTTTTTAACGAACCTTTTTTATCAACCGATGCGCATGATTTTGACCTAAAATTAATTAATAAGTTAATTAAATTTATAGTCACAAAAAATGCGCGATATATATCAAGATTTTATACGTTTATGAATCTGAATACGGTTTATAAAATACAATGCGAACTAACATTATTCCTTGCTATATATACATAAATAATAAATATTTCTTAAAGATAAATCATCTTTAAATTTTTATATTAAGTTGTAATAAAATGTAATTATTAATAATTTTGTTAATGATTAAAAATTGTACGATTTAATAAAAAATTAAATTTTTCAATTGTAGTTTACAATTTTTTACGAATTATCAGATATATATTCTCAAATAATATATATTGTACATAACGAGAATTTTGATATAATTTATCTTACATATATATAGGTATATATTGCGTGATAAAATGTAACTGTAGACTATAGATACATAATATCAAGCATGTGAGAAATGATTATTCTTTTATTTTTTTCTTTCAGAGTGGACCGTTTCGGGCAAAGACATGAGGACACGAGGTATATAAATTATTTGGCATTTATAGAATTTAAATATGTACATCAATTCTTCTATCTCTTTAATCTCTGTCACTAATATCTCTATAACTGACAATTTTATTATTAATATTTATACACGATAATGTTACGTTGCTCAATAATGACAACAAATAAAAAAATGCAAAATTTTTTATTTTCGATTTGTTTCTAAATAATTTTAGAAACTAAATATCGATTTTATAACAGATAGCAAATATTTTTTTAATTACAATAAAAATATATTAGATAAATCGCTCGTATAAATTTCAAACAATAAATTAAGGGGCTTCTATCAGGTCATTATATTAGGTGTAGTAAAAAGTCATCGCGTATTTTTTAGCTCAAAGTTGTATATACAATATCTTCGTCAATAATGAATGAAATTCAAATTTAAAAAAAAGGTTTTAAAGCTTGAAATCTCTACTTTTAAAAGCTTATCACATTTTTTAAGTTTATATGAGTTTGATAACTTTTACATACCAAAAACTACGAGCTGAAAAAGACGAAAAATTTTCTTCTCATTTTGTGGATTTGTAACGTGTCCAAAACGAATTTGAGAAAATTTTCGATTACCTATCGTGAAAGCTTGATACTTTCCCTACAAAATCGTTTTTTTTAATTTAATATTCCTACGACTTTTGATTACTGAGTTATCGCGGATTAAATAAAAGAATTATTTTGACTTTAATTGCTCATAACTCCATTAAAAATTGTCGTATCGTATAATTTAAAAAGGAGATTTTTAAAACTGAAACTTTACTCTATTAAGATATATTTATATTGTTGATAAGAAAGTAATTGCGATTTTTATTGATAGATGTCTTTTAAAAAAACGAGATGACTTTTTACTTAACCTAATAATAAACGAACTTTAAAAGATGTCAACATTAATTCTTTATTATTCTTTTCTATCATTTCATGGCATTTGTAGTACATACAATTGTATGATTTTTTTTTACGCAATATGATATATTCCTCTACATACAAAAGTATTAAGGTAGTAATATCAAAAATCAATAGTTGAGATATTTTACATTTTATTCTGGCACATATTGGCATAAAATGTTAAATAATTCGTAAACTATTAACTTTTTGATAATCGTACTTTAATACTTTTACGAATAGAATAATAAGTTGAATCAGTTGATGGAAAGAAAAACACATAGTTGCTTATTTTAAAAATTATCCATTTTGCATACATATTTTTTTAAAGCAACGATATGTTTTCTTTACACTAATTGATTTAATTTACTGACTTAATTAACTGACTTAATTTTTAAAGTATTCAAAGTGTTCATTACTTATTCCGGGTTATATTTGTGAGAATTCGTGCCATAAGATACATGAACTTGGAAATTCCCTATTTTCACACTGAAGTTGCTCATTGCTTCTTAAGAAAACAAGAATCGTAACAGAGAATCACATCAGAAAATTTGAAACATTGTTAAAACTCTTGATTTCTATTCACGCTGTAAGTTCAATCTGGTAGTCGAAACTTGTAATTTATTTGTATTTAAACTGAGTTTTTATTTTTTATTTTTTATTATATATATTTTTTTAATTTTACTTTTCTCTATTTGTAATTTATTCTTTTAATTGTGTGACTTTTTTAAAGAAGTGTTGACTCTTACTTTGCCCTTTATTTATTGTTATTTATTTTGTATAGGAAGAGTCCTTCAATCTGTTAAATGTTACATGGAAGAATTAGATTCGTGTGATAAAAATAAATGCAATTTCATTTAAAAAAATTTTTAATTAAAGATAACACAAAATGTTTTTATATGTAGGCTATTATTTATATATATTTATCATTTTATTACTCATAAACTGTACTTATTTATATGTGAATTTTAAATGACTTTTAACATCTATTGATGTGACTGTATGCTCTCCATTATTTATATCAAGCAATACAGTTGAAAAGTTAATATATGAGAATCGAATCCGAGACCTTTCCAGAGACGAATAAATACGAAGCAGTTGTTTTTACACGTTGCTGACACTTCGTCCACACTTCGCGCATTGGTTAATACTGTTACTCTCGATTTCACAAAACTAACGAAATTTTCATCTGATTTATTCACGTCGGTCAGTTCCGCGAACTTGTTTCAACTTTATCGAAGGGTGGGCGTTTGAGTATAGAAAAACTAGTATAAACTTCAAGTAGAGGAAGAAGAAATTCGTAGAAGAGCAGTGTTCGTATGAAAGTATTAAGATTTAAATTACTGAAGTCTAACAGAGTGCCACAAAACTTAGAATTCTAACATCAGTTTGACAGATGATTCACTATTATTTCAGATTATTCTTGTAGACGAACATATCGTGAAAATAATCTTAGAATCACATAAAGTATGTAGGGAAACAGTTCTGTAAATGACTGTCAGATGGAATTTATCCGGAAATCGAAGACATAATCCTATTTAATTTTCGATGCGCGCTATTATGGAAAGATATATTTTACATTATCTATTACTTTCCGTTCTCAATGAATAAAATACTGTCGAATTTCTGCAGCAATAATGAATTCTAAATTCACCAAATATATATGGAGTATTAATAAGAATCGAAGTTGTGTGTGAATCTAGTTACCTTTATCAAGTCTTCATTTCTAAAAATTACCGTTTATATACAGTTGGATAGATATTTTTAAACATTTTTAGAAACGTTCGATTAAAATTTCTCAAGAAATTTCTTGAGAAGGAAATCGATGCTGTCCCCTTAGAATGCTTCAGTAATGTCTTATTAGGTAGGCACTGGCTCTAATAACTGCTCGTGAAACTAACGATGGTGAAGCTTCCGAACTAAGCGCGCTCTTAGACTGTGTCGTCATCGAGTGGCAGCTGTTTTCATTCAGCTTCGTCCTTCTTAGTTGGCAACTTCCTCTGCAGCACTTTTAATTAACGTACAGTAAGCATTTCCTACTTCATTTTTTCTTGCTCCAATTTCTTTTTGTATGAACGATTCGTATATCGAGTAAGCTCTAGGCGATGAAACAGTGTTAGACAAATAGTATACACATGCAATATCTAAACCAATTTCCCCATTTAGATCACAGGATCCTAATGGAAGATTGTACTGATATTCGATACATAATTAATATTTGTTAGAAAACTTGGTTTTCTGGAAACGAAAATATCACTAGCTATAAAGCTATTTAAAACGCAGAATTGTTAGTGTTTCATCAAGACAAGAAATTGTTATCAAGACCAAGATTTGTTGACAATAAGTCAAGAAATTTCTTGAAATTTCTTGAATTTCTGTAATAGTTTTTATTTTTAATACTTTATTATTTTAATATTTTATTATTTTATTTCTGATTTGAAAAGTTTTGAATAAGTTTTGAATAAGTTTTGAATAGGTTTCAACATATTCAATTGTTAAATACGAAGCGCTCTTACAGTTCCGAGTGTTAAGATGTTGAACTAACATTCATTTAAGTTAAAATTAAATTAAATTAAATTAATTTATTTCAGAAATAAATTGAGAGC